CGAACAGGTTGTATCATAAGGAAAAATAAACTACTGGTTAGTGTTCCCACTAGGTGTTAGTATTCCCACATCCGTAAATTCCACACTGAGGATTTTATTTCATCACACTTTCAAATACCTGAATAGATTTGATGTTGATGATGGTTTGTGCATGTTGAGTTTTATCACGTTTTCGTTTTTTGGTTGGGCAGTTTAGTATTATTATTTTAGTTATCTTTTGTTGACGTATTTGTACACTTTAAAATTCTCCATTCTGAATGGCCTGTATAGTTTTTTTATGTAAACAAAGTTCTTTCTGCTTAATAACTACAGGAATGCGGCTTTGGCTTCTTCAAGCTACCTACTGCTATTATTTCCATCATTTGTCCGTGGTAGCAGCATCGCCAACTTGTTTCATGAAATGAAAAAAATCTTGGCTCTCCTTTACTTCCGGTTTGAGTACTATTAAATAACACGTCGTTTTGAGAGTTTATACCTACATACTGTATTATGTCACCGTGGCCTTCTTGCCTAGTACGCTGCGTAGTTATGTCATAATTTTGAAGAGTACTTGGTACAATTGAGAATCGGAGGACAGACACTGAAGGTGAAGGTCCGCATTCTTCATGTTGTGATTAATTTCTACGCCTTCCGCTTACAACATAAAATAAGGTGGTCCGTGCTCTCGTAATAAATGTTATATCATAAACGACAACAATAATAAAAGTAACTATTTTTCGGTTCGGCAAAATAAAACTATTTTCATGTCTTTCTTGCAATTCTTGATGTGCACAGCAAAGAAATTCATCACCCTAAATATTGAACGATAAGAAAACTCCATAATATACTTTGAATAACTTCATAGTTTACACAAAACAACACACCCAGGTTTTGGAAATGTTCGTATTTTAGCCCACTTTCACTTTAAGCTCTGCGGTGTAAGCAAGGAGACGAATCCGTTGCTATGTTAAAAGAAAACGAGGGCTCATAATGTATTCTAATCAGTTAACTAATATAATATTTTTCCGTATAGACTTAGTACGTTATAGAAGAAGATAAAATAAAGTTATATTATTATTCATATAACATACAGATGAATGCACGTAGCTCAATTAATACCGAGTTCTTGTCGTGTATTAAGCTGCGGTTTTTCCAACCACGTAAATTATGTATAAGAAAACGCAGGCGGCATTTGTGGTAAATTACCTCCGCCGTATATTCGTAACTACTAGTCAATGTTTTCATTAGTTTGTAGTAAACTGTTTTTATTAAACCGCTATGCTTTCGACTCAATGGTGCTAAGTTGCTATTGGTTACCCTAGATATTGCCACATCGTGACTGTTGTTTTCTACTTTGGAAGATATCACCAGTGTGCTTAGTGCGAGTTTTTTAGTGTTCTCGATAGCGTAAAAGTTAACTCAAATTTGTATGCAGTTGCAAACTGTTACGGTATTGAGAAAGTAAAAGAATTCGCAATAAGCACAGAGTACATACATGTCATATTAGTGTACATTTAGTATTAGTATACTGTACATAGGTATTCATTTAAAGTTTTATCCCTAAAAGAGTTCAAAACAATCGCATCATTCGACACGAGTAAGGCCACGGACGCATCGAAGTGTAAAAGAGGTTGTCCTTGTATTGAGGTCTTCTTTCGATATAAAAAAGTTAGGCTATACAAAACTTGTATACGTCCAGTCATAACTAATACAAATGTGGCTTGTGCTCACATAGGATGAACTTCAAATTCTTCAATTTCCCTCCTTGGATTAGCAATCGGCACACAATGGTACGTGAGGAATGTGGATCTTTATTATAATCTAGATCTCGAACCACTAACTCGACTTACGCTTACGGCCTAGATACGTCCTGATACATTACTACTGTTGTACTATGTACTACATTACATTTACTGTTGTTCGCTACTATACTAGCACCGTTCAAAGCCCAGGTCACCGCATTCGTCGAACTTGATTCCCACATGGTGGTAGATGCATTCACGAAACTGCTGCTAGCCGCTAGGCCTAAGACTATGCCACCCTTTTTATTACGTTTTATTGAAATATTCGAAAGGGCGATAGAAGAAATGTTAAGAAAAGGTCAACGTAAAAAAAACACACATACTTTTCACTGTTAGGTAATGTTTTGTAATCACATGTCAGCGGACAAAATTGTTTTAATATTGATTCATTATGTTTTATTGTATGGTTTTGCAATGGTAAAATGTTCATCACTTTCATTCGGAGGAAGTATCTACCACTAATAGATTTACGGGTCGTTTGTCGTGGTCAATACTGAATTTTACTTAGATTATGAAGAATATAGAATATAGAATTGGTTATTGATAATTTGATGAGATTAAGTAAGTACTCAACAGAACGGTGATATTGGTACGTTACTCTCTTCGTGACACGTTTTTTACTGTTGGTTCTGAGTCCGCACGGGTAGGTACCACCACCCCGCCTATTTCTGTCGTGAAGCAGTAATGCGTTTCGGTCTGAAGGGCGGGGTAGCCGTTGTAACTATACTGAGACCTTAGAACTTATATCTCAAGGTGGGTGGCGCATTTACGTTGTAGATGTCTATGGGCTCCAGTAACCACTTAACACCAGGTGGGCTGTGAGCTCGTGCACCCATCTAAGCAATAAAATAAAAACGTAATTGCAAATTCAGTAACATTTATTTAAAATGTTTTTTATGTTTACAATTGCTTATAATTCCTTCACAAAATTCATCGTCAGCTCTCTTGCTATAGGTAGGTACGTTGTTTATATCTACATTGTTGCGTGTTTATTTTGAAATCTTTATGATTCACAATGACAAACGTTTTTTTGTTGTTACGTTCGTGAAACTCTGTGATTTAATGATGCAAGCGAAACATACATTGCATATTTTAATATACACTGAGTTCTGTGAATTCATCCGTGTTCAATTCGTGGCAACGTTCCGCTTTCTGACTGTTGTAAATATTTCCATTTTATTTTTGTAATGTTGATCGCGACATTTATAAACGTCAAGATTTGTATACCTAATACTTAAGGTTACCGAGAAAAAGGACATTGAATAATAGAAAATAGATTAGGTTAATGATACTCGTGGACAAACAAGTTTATAGGCTAAGCGTATGTAATGAAAGTTAAATTAGAAAATAAATAGTTCGGTAGGCAGCGGCTTGGCTCTGCCCCTGGCATTGGTGAAGTCGATGGGCGACGGTAACCTCTCACCATCAGGTGGGCCGTATGCTCATCTACCTACAAGGGTAATAAAAAAAAAGTTAATATATGTATATATAATAGTAATATTTCAAATCACTAAAAAAGAATATCGTTGTGAAATAATTTTACAATTAATTTCTGATGAAGCGTGTTGCGGATAATAACATGTACTTTTAGGTTAGGAATATTATGTTCTTTTTTTTATAATAAATTAAGTGGGTGACTTACGAACTTAAAGTAAAGCAGTTTATATGACCGGGAACTTACTCGGCTTGACGTCGGTGACACACGTGAAGCTTACTGAATCTGTATTGCGATGTAGTTAGTCTACAGAAGAAGTTTTGTGTCATTTAAGAATTATATCTACCACCTAATAAATAAAGACGAAGTGGAAAATGGCGGCTCACGGATCGCAGAGCTGTCATACGTACGAGCGTAGGCGGGTTACGAGCAAAATTTAAAATTTGTTGGTACGCCAACGAATCGGCAGCTTGCGAAAGCGAAAAAGGTCGTCGAGCCACAAGTTCGCGAACTTACTCGCACCGGCACGTCTATCACTGTCTATCACCCACTTTAGGTTTCAAAGACAAGGAATACATAATGTTGAATATGAACGTTTTGTCATCTAACTCATACGCCCACATACGAGTGGCCAGGCCACAACGACACATTGTCAGACGTGCATCTTTCAGATTTATCTATTTGGCAATAAGCCAACAGACATTGACAAAGAAAGGCTTTCGGTATTAAATTTTAGTATCGTTACCATTAGATTAAATTAAAAATATGGTGGACGTGCAACTTGGTCGACGTGAAAGAAGTCAAATTTCTTTTGCCGTTTGTAGTATTGTAGTTTTCTTAAAATTTTCATCCTTAAATCAAATTTCTCTTGTATTAAGGAATGCTGTGTTTAAGAGAAACAACCTAGCTAGCTTTATCCTTTCCCTCTCTCCACGGTAGAGTGGTTCGCGAGACGGTCTGTCTATTTTTTTTCACACTCACGTTCTTCCTAAATTGTATCTTTTCTCTCTAGCTGTAACGAATCTGTCGCGAGTTAAATTTTACTCGCAACGGGCTTAAAAAAGTTTCACTTCAAAAATAGTTTTCTGTGAGTAAAAATAAAAGCCTTTATATAGGCAGCCACGATCACTAATAATAACCGAGTATTTTTTTCTAACCTTCATAAATATGCTTTTTTTTTATTGCTTTGATGAGTAGACGAGCTCAGAGCCCACCTGGTGCTAAGTGGTTACTGGAGCCCATAGACATCTACGACGTAAATGCGCCACCCACCTGGAGATATAAGTTCTAAGGTCTCAGTATAGTTACAACGGCTACCCCACCCTTCAAACCGAAACGCACTATTGCTTCACTACAGAAATAGGCGGGGTGGTGGTACCTACCCGTGCGGACTCACAATAGGTCCTACCACCAGTAATTACGCAAATTATAATTTTGCGGGTTTTGTTTTTTATTACACGATGTTATTCCTTCACCGTGGAAGTCAATCGTGAACACTTGTTAAGTACGTATTTCATTAGAAAAATTGGTACCCGCCTGCGGAATTCGAACACCGGTGCATCGCTCGATACGAATGCACCGGACGTCTTATCCTTTAGGCCACGACGACTTCCGTTATGCGTTATGCTAAGCGACACGAAATTGAAACAAACAGATGTTCTGTATTATATTCATGCAATACAAGATCTATACATATAGCTAATTATGAAAACAATATTATATAAGGTTGCGATGCCTACGGCTTAAAATACTTATTATTCTGTCATTTTATTTATTATTTTCAGGGCATTAAACTACATTACGTTGAAAGCGGCGACCCTTCGAAACCTTTAATGATTTTTCTACATGGTTTTCCTGAATTCTGGTATTCATGGAGATACCAAATTTTGGAATTTAAGAAAGATTATTGGTACGTAAAATACATATATTGTTATGTACTATGTTGTTATGTATTAACAAGACTTGCAAGCTGACTATATGCATGCGAGCTGGGAAGCGCTTGCTACTCAGTGACGAGCCAACCTCCATAGCGTAGCGTAGCCGTCCTTCTTTTTTTCCTATTTGTTCTAGTCATCACATAGTAGATGTCTCTGGGCTCCAGTAACCACTTACCACCAGGTGGGTTGTGAGCTCGTCCACCCATCTAAGCAATAAAAAAAAAAGTAACCTCGAGGGGTTATATTAGATTCTCCGGGTGAGGAGGTGAGCTCGCGGGGCTCTAACCTGAGGACGTTGTTAACACTAGTCCTAGCAAGAGCAATGCTTAGGAAAATCTACCACCCGGTGGGACACACGACCCACTGAGAAGATCTGGCGAGAAACTTAGTGGGCTGTAGCCATCCTAGTATATCCGTAGCTTTATTTCGGCGTACTACTCGTATAAGTATGACTCAATGCCCTGGTTGATGCTCAACAGCGACTAGTCATGGCCGGAAATACTCGACCTCTGCGAGTGCATACAAGGGCAATAAAAAAAAAAAAGAGTGCACCATTTTAAAGAAGCAGATGGTTTAGCGTGAGAGTGGTTCTTGTTTCTGCACGAATTCCTCACTGTCGAGCCGGGGGCCGGGGTAAGTATCTGCCCTGGTCGCCTAACTGTTTTGGGTCCCTTCTTTATGCTGGCATCATGGACAGACGAAGAAGATCCAAGAAGACGACGTATAAGCTGTTCTAGATACGTCTTGCGAAAGAGCGACCGGGTGACTAATGACTGCAGAGTCCGACCCTGGCTGGCCATGCCCAGCGGGGTATTGGGTATATCACCGAAGTATATACGAGCTGGCGTCGCCGGCTAGTACAATTTCAAGTTACCTGTGTTCACCGCAGAACCGTTTTTGGGTTAGGTAGAATTCCTTGGATTTCACCTACAGGTTGGGGGCGGAGCATGTTGGTGATCAACCGACTAAAACCCCTTAAATAGCTGTTTCATTAACGCTCAAGTCTAATTATGCACTAACTTGGATCGGTCTAAGCGTTCATTAAATTGTTAAAGGTGCATAGCCGTTGACATGCGAGGATACGGAGATTCCGAAAGAGTTGAAGATGTCTCCGCCTACAAGTTAAATCTGCTCATTGACGACATCAAATATTTAGTTAAGGAGCTGGGTAAGTATAGATTTTTATTTTGGTTTAATGAATCTATAATAAATTTGCTAGCAGTGGTTCGTTTATTTTTGTTATCGAGGATAACCGTTGTTTGAATTGAAATTAAGATTTTTATTTCACATCGCAAGTTGGCAGCATTTAATTTATGTGTCCTTTCTAAGGGGGCAATAACCCTTGACCAAATATGTCGCTAACTCGGTTTCCGATATGAGACTATAATTTGAAAGTCTGATAAAACTGTGTTTTTTTTTAAATATATCGAAGCACATAGCTCACGTAGTACCATATTCGAATAACTCAAAGTTTTAACAAAAAAGAGTAAATCGACTACAAAAAAATATGAGAATATCATCAATGAAGTCGAAGTCAATTAAATAAGCAATATTAAGAATATGTCAATTAAAATACTACCGGCTAGTTCCTGATAAAATGTAAATGCTATGAGAAATGCATGCATGTTAAACATGAGAAGTATCAGCTCTGAATTAAATAATCATAAATCGTACAGGTATAAAAGAATTTTGAAATAGCACACATAATATCACAGTCGATTTTTTTATTGCCTTTGCAGGCAGACGAGCATACGGCCCACTTGATGGTGAGTGGTTACCGTCGCCCATGGACTTCAGCAATGCCAGGGGCAGAGCCAAGCCGCTGCCTACCGCTAAATCCTCCTTGAGAGGATCCTAATTGAGATCCTCCTCCTTTTTTGCTGTTGGCAAAAGTGTGGCTCTAAGTGGCTCTAAGTTTCTTGACATCTCCTGTGATGAACTACTAGCCGAAGCGGTGGTAAAACTAGGACGATTTGAATGTACCTGTAAAAGTCTATTTGGAGAAAATACACATTGATTAGGTATACAAACAGAAACGGTTAATACTATAGTTATGGAAACATATCGATAACATAAATAGCCCATTATCACTGAACTGAGCAAGTCATCGTATTTTTAACACACAAACATAATTTAAATGTAAAATCAGTTTTAATTATAAGTATATGTTGTTTTAAAGGTTGTTTAAAATTACAGGTCGTGAGAAGTGCATTTTAGTCTCGCATGACTGGGGAGGTGCGATAGCGAATGCTATACGAAATGCGTACCCCGAAATAGTCAGCGCACTGATTATGTTAGCCAGCATGTCAACCGCAGCTTCTATCCACGAAATATGGAACAATTCAAAGCAGTTCTTAATGTCTTGGTATTCAATTTAAAGTTATTCTGATCGCTCTTTACTTTTTATTTAGTTTATCGTGCAAACAATTAGTTTTTGATTAAGTAAAGATTCGTAATTTTATTAATGAAGTCTATCAATATGGTCAAAAAAGATTTAAGTTGTATGGAGTTGCCATAAAATGGTCATTACATTTGATAATTTTAAATAAGGCCAAGACCGCAAATTCACACACAAAATATAAAACAGTAAATAGAATAAAATAGTAAAATTGAGACTTGATCCTGATATCTCTTGGTGGCTGGTAGCCTTCAAATTATAACCTTTATAGGTTTCGGTAACCATTTAACACTGGATGGACTTTGAATATTATGTCGTTTAGTAGATATTTACCTATTTGTATTTCGACGTAAATATCTTGTTCAAATTTCACGATTTTCTAAGTGTCTAAAAGTACGTTTCAGCTTTCTTATACCTAAATATTTCTGTTACAGTTCATTTTTCTCCTTAATTAGTTAAATAGACACACGGCTTGCACGTTTAATTGTAACAACCATAACACCGCTTCCCCGATCATCGTTCCCGCCGAACCCGTCGCTTACGACGAAGGACTCGACAAGTATACACAGACATAACCCACAGACACAGCCCACTGAGTTTCTTGCCGGATCTTCTCAGTGGGTCGCGTTTCCGATCCGGTCGTAGATTCTGCGAAGCACGGCTCTTGTTAGGGTTCGTGTTAGCAACGTCGTCAAGTTTGAGCCCCGTGAGCTCACCTACTAGTTAAGGTTACGCTGAAATAGCCTCCCAAAGCTATCAGCTTAGGTAGGAAAAAAAAATCCGCTTCCCGAGCGTTATGACATGTCTTTCTTCAAACGAGGCTTGTGTAGAGTGCTAAACTGTAGGCAGCGGCTTGCTCTTGGCATTGTTGATTTCCATTAACGACGGTCAGCACTCATTATCAGATGGGCCGTATGCTTGTCTGCTCACAAGGGCAATAAAAAAAGAACACTAAGAAACTAAATTTAAGGAATAAAATTGGTTTTTAGGTACTTTTTCCTGTTTCGTCTACCTTGGCTGCCAGAGCAGTTTGTCTCAATGAACGACCTTGAGATACATGATAAGATATTACTTGTTCCTGGCAACACGTATGTCGACAAGCAAGATGTCGAGTGTTACAAGTACTGGTTTTGTAAGCCTTGTAAGTGTTCCATTTTATTTATTAGTATTACGTAGAAGCCCAAGATATCGTAGAATGTTGCAAGGAAGATCAAGTATCACTAATAGTGCAGATGTAAATTAATGTGTAATAAAAGTAGGTTTATCGAATTTATTTCGAAGAACGCTATCAACACTATTTTATAACAATGGAAATAAAGTATAAAATTAATTCGGTGATACGTAAGAAGACGTTCAGAAAAAAAAAGTGGTAAAGCCAATAAGGTGTAATTTGTAATGTAATAAGTAAGGTATAATTTGTAGTCGTCGTGGCCTAAAGGATAAGACGTCCGGTGCATTCCTATATAGCGATGCAACGGTGTTCGAATCCCGCAGGCGGGTACCAATTTTTCAAATGAAATACGTACTTAAAAATTGTTCACGATTGACTTCCACGGTGAAGGAATAACCCGGTAATAAAAATCAAACCCGCAAAATTATAATTTGCGTAATTACTGGTGGTAGGACCTTTTGTGAGTCCGCACGGGTAGGTACCACCGCCCCGCCTATTTCTGCCGTGAAGTAGTAATGCGTTTCGGTTTGAAGGGTGGGGCAGCCGTTGTAACTATACTGAGACCTTAGAACTTATATCTCAAGATGTGTGGCGCATTTACATTGTAGATGTCTATGGGTTCCAGTAACCATTTAACACCAGGTGGGCTGTGAGCTCGTCCACACATCTAGGCAATAAAAAAAAATAAAAAAAAAAGGTTACAAAATTAATTGACTAATACCTCAATTAAGCATAAAATAATCATCATTTTTCTAGAACGTTGACATTTTACAAACTCGAAATTTATGGGATAGGTATCTGGTGATTCCTTTTGTGTTTTCCTTATTGGCACCTGCCTTTATTTTCGGAAATTTACTTGAGTGGCAAAATATCAATTAGCAAACATTAAAAAAGGTTTTTTGTTGTTTTTAAATAAAATTTTTAACCCTACCTATTTGCTGATAGCCTAAGGGGCTAATCCAGCTACGTCCGAACGGGAAGGTGAGCTCATGGGCTCAACCTCAGAAATTTTGCTAACATTAGCCCTAACAAGAGCAGTGATTCGTAGAATTTATCAGTGGATCGATATCGCGACCCACTGAGAAGGTTCGGTGAGAAACATAATGGGCTGTGTCTATAGGTTAGTTCATGAATCGTAATCGACAAGTTAGACGAGGACGGTGACCGGTACTTGAGGAGGCCAAAAGCAAGAGTGGATCCGGAGGATCCGACAAAACATATTTCGGGCGACGGCGGCTTAGCGTTGACCTTTCGCCTGGGTCGGATATGTTAAATCACTTCATGAGGGGCCGACGCTATGTCCTCTAAGTGTCGACTGGTCGCTACGGAGGGTAGCAGTTGAAATGCTTTCCAGGCCGTGCCTGCATATAGCCTCCAATGCGTAGTAAATTAACTCTCAGACACAGCCCACTGAGTTTCTTGCCGGATCTTCTCAGTGGGTCGCGTTTCCGATCCGGTGGTAGATTCTGCGAAGCACGGCTCTTGCTAGGGTTCGTGTTAGCATCGTCGTCAGGTTTGAGCCCCGTGAGCTCACCTACTAGCCACGGTTACGCTGAAATAGCCTCTCAAGGCTATAAGCTTAGGTAGGAAAAAAAAAAAAATGTTTGCCCCTATTCGTATTTCGGCGATTCCGGCTATTCCTTTTGACTTGAAAAAAAGGGTATCACGCAACGTCTAACGTGCCTATAGATACCAGCATAAATGCCGCTACCCACATTGATGCGTCAATGTGACGTTACTACGTTACCGTTATAGCTGAATTACTTAACGGTTAACCTACCTCTAAGTCGAATTGCTCTGCGACAAAAGAAGGCATGGCAGAAGATGGAAGTCTTTGATCAACTTTTATGGGATAGTAAATAAGCAATGGCTCATGGCGAAAAGTACACAGGAGCTCGTGAATACCGGGGTTGCTTTTTCTGATTTTTAAAACATCCGGACTGACTATAAACAAGTAAAATCAATTTGTTTAAATTTCTTATTGTTTCAGATGCTCTGACTCCACCCATTAATTACTACCGTGCCAACTTCGATTATGTCGCAAATGATAAATATTACAAAGATAATGTTCCAATGCTAGTCGTACACGCTGCCAAAGATTTGTACATCAACAAAACAGTTCTGGAAGCTATGAAGAAACAATACGAATACATCGAAACTGTAATAGTCGACGGTGTCGGACATGCACTACAGCAACACGATCCAGACAGAATCAATAAAATAATTCGAGATTTTCTAGCCAAGAACAATCTATAAATGTCTGATTCAATTTGTAATGAAGAACATGTTTTACAAATTGTGACATTTTTATACTGCAAAATAAACAGTATTGATGCGCAAAAATAAATAAATATAAGTTTAAATTGTATTTATTTGTCTTTAACTCTGCCCAATGCCTTGATCCAGCTTGCGCTGACTTCAAGGCATGGTAGCTTGTTCCTTTTGCTTACAAGATACCTAATGTTTATTTAACGAGTTTATTTGTAAAAATCAATGTATTCAATTAATAAAACCAAAAATATGAAGTAACAATATATTATTATTAAATTGTACACAGTAATAGAGTACCAATAAATTTACATTTGTTCCATTCATATGGTCTATATTTTGCAACTTTCTCGTTACATTTTCGCGAGCATTAAAAGAGGATTTTTGTATTGCTCTTGTATGCCTACGAGCATGCGGCCCACAATATATTGAGTGGTTACAGTCGCTCATGGATCTCAGCAATACCAGGGGCAGAGCCTATCCGCTGACTACGAAGCAACTCGTCGAGATTCCGTCTGTTACCTACCTACATCCATAATTTGTAAAAAATATATTCTTGCTTCACATTGTTTGACATGATACAGTTAACAAGAATATACGAAAAATATCATGGTCAAGGGACCGTCAAGCTCCACAGACTATAGCGAAACCCGAATCAACTCCTAAAATGTTTTTTTTAACCTACTTACTGCTAGTAGCCTCAAGGGGTTATACTAGCTTGTACAGAACGTGTAGCTAAGCTCACGGAGCTCAGCCTGAGGAACTTTTTTAACATTTGCCCTAGCGAGAGCAGTGCTCTGCAGAATCTACCACCGGATTGGAAACACGACCCACTGAGAAGATCACAAACTCAGTGGGCTTTGAATTCACAAAGACGTGTCTAAGACATTGATGGGGATCGAATTGTAGATTTTTAAGTATGTCGAATATCAACGTTAATTTATACTCATTAGCTAGCCGTTATTTTAGAGCAATTAAAATACATTCAATTTATAAGATACTACAGTAACTTCTACAAATTGTGATACAGCTTCGTGTCACGAAAACTCTTTGGACACTTGGGACAGCAGCTACAAAATAATCCATTAATGATAATTACTACATACTACAAGTATATAATTTATGCATACTACTTAAGTAACAGATGGACTTTTTGGCGGGAACGCGAGGAGTGAAGTTGTGTGATTTTTTTTAGTTTGTCTATTTAGTGTTTCTTCAGGTTTAAATGTGTAATAACGGTGGTTTATTAACTGTTTAGTATCTGTGAAGGTGCACAAATGTGGGAAAATGAAATAAAGCCGTTGGACGTAACTTCTCGAGATTATATTTCATCCCATATCATCTCATTTCATTTAATTTCATTTCATCCCAGTTGATTAATGTCTCAAATTAATCATCTTCATTTCATTTCACTCCATGTTATCATTTTTCATAAAATTTAGAATATAAATTAAAATAAGACATGACTTAAAGGCCATAATTACCAGGTCACAAAATCCCATAAAAAATCATATTTATTTTTATTTTAAATTATTATTTTGCTTAACGTTCTAATTTCTGCCAGTCAAGTTTGATGTTTTGAAGGGACGCCTTTACCTGTTGAAATCGATACTTTATTGGTGTTTTCATTTCACGACAGCTCACGTAGGATTAGTGGAGCATTTTTCAAGGCTTATTTTCTCAGGTTTTCCCATTTGTGGTACCTACCTACTTCTTCTTATGCCGGCCACTGTTTGCGCGCATGTGTAGGGCTGTCAAACATTCATTCGCAAACTTAGCTTTGCAAATGGGTTCGGTATTTAATTTGCGAACCCGTTTGCGCTTCCTCCTACACTTGTTTACGAATGTCTCACGAATTTCTCTTCCTTTTTAATTCGTCAATAGAACATTGAAGAGAAAAAGAGTTTTGAATTCTTTCCCAGACATCATTAACAGCCATGCTGTTTTTATGGGATTTCTTTTGATGAAGATACGCTACACAGGAGACGCCACGAACTATGAAAATGACGATACGTCCATTACCTTCGCAATCGTCGGCGCAACTGGGCAAATGAATGTGTGGTAAACTCAATCCAGAGCCGTATGGTAGGTACGTGGGAAAAAAGATCTCTGGAAGCGCACTGTGATGAACGCTACTCTACTCCGGTGGCAGGTACGTTCAATGGTGTGTTTTACACTTCTACAACTTAAACTATTTTTGAAGCATTAGGATATTTGAATTAATATCCAGTGGCACGGTGATCTTACCATATAATCTGGTGATTTAAAATATTGTTGCAAGTTGAGGCATTTAAGCGGTGTAGGCAATGCTCATCATTTAAAAAAAAATTGTCATACCATGGACACCAAAACTAATTTCAAATTTAACCGTAAATATGTTTTGTCTTTGTCGCTCTACAAACCTTTTTATTTGAGAGAAGAGTTTCGACGTCATTTCATGGAATTCTTTAAAATTGTCCGTATAATAAGTCGCTTCAAATCAAACATAATGAAAGCTAATGGCTGAAACTGTTCACGAAACAGCTGATGGTGCATCGTTCGATCTTCAATAAAAACTTGTTTCTTTCATTCTAGAGTGTAATACTATTTAGATGAAACCCCATTCGTTTCATTGTTTAGCTTTGAAATCAGGGTGTGTTAAACCGTGTCACGGATCAGTTTATGAAAGTAAATTTCTTGGTGTCAATATTGCTGGCTTTTTCAGATGTCACTGACTATCCAGCAAATAATTTTGGATGCAAAAAGGCTCGCAGGTCGTCTTAAAGAACGCGAAACAGAGGCTGATGCTCTGTTGAGCGAAACCCAAGCAACTTATCGACAAATTCATACAATGAAACAGGTAAGATTTTCTTATGCACTCTATTAATTTAAACAGTGTTAAAGAACTTAACCATTAGGCCCCATTTTCGAAAGAAAAAATGGTTTTATATTCGACGTTTTAACTTAAACTTAATGTGATTAGAATAATGATCTTGTTATTAATTCCAATCTAATATGATTGGATTGTATTGGTGACCTTGAGTTTAATTGTCAGTTTTGTAAACAACATTCAAACACGCAAGCTTTCACAAAGTTATGGTACCTTCAAAATAAAGAAGTTCTTTTGAATATTATTGGATAAAATACATAATATAAATAGAAACCAAAAATATTATTTTGTTCATAAATTTAATCATTATTTTTAATGACAATACTTATATAATATACGATATTTTCAATAAGTACACGCCAATAGCTTAACATAGCGTTTTATTTTATTTTAAAAACCTTAAATTTTGTACTATTACTGTGAATTGAATCTGGGATCTGTAATGATATGTTTTGCGAACAACACATCTACTTTACTAGAGTTTCAATCAATACTAATAAGAAAATGATATTATGTCATAAACTCATCAAATTACTTATATACGTGATTATTTAGCATTTAGATAGTGGTCATATAGAGTAGTAATTTGGCATATTAAATGATTTATTGTGGTCTACTCAATATGCCTAACATAAACAAAACGAAATTTGTTTTTCCTGTACTTGTATTTCTGATATTTAAGTCAGTGTAATAATTCTAATCAGTTTATTTGTTTATTATAATCCTTACTTCTGACAAACATGTTATGATGTCATTCTAAATTATAACTATTTTCTTTAGTATAAAGAAGAAGTTGATACATTAAANAATGATTTATTGTGGTCTACTCAATATGCCTAACATAAACAAAACGAAATTTGTTTTTCCTGTACTTGTATTTCTGATATTTAAGTCAGTGTAATAATTCTAATCAGTTTATTTGTTTATTATAATCCTTACTTCTGACAAACATGTTATGATGTCATTCTAAATTATAACTATTTTCTTTAGTATAAAGAAGAAGTTGATACATTAAATGAGGCATCACGAGAGAGACCAAGAGGGGCTCTCATCGCCAGCATAGAGAGAGAGTCTCAGCTCATGAGGGGTGTGCAGAGGGAGAATGGTGAGCTCAGAGCTGCACTAGAAGATCACAGACGAGCCTTGGAATTAATCATGTCAAAATATCGACAGCATACAGAGAAGAAAATATGGGAGTCAAGAATAGATTTCACCTCAGCTATAAATGAGAAACAACAAGAGGTTTTTTGCTTTTATGACATAGAATCCTTACTATTTTTGTGTTATGTTCCTTTTTATCAAAGTATTTCACAGTAGATTTTCCCAAGAAATCAAATTTATAATAAATGTAAAAATCTTTAAAGTAAAGAATCCTTGGTACTCAAATAAAGTACTAGTGTCAAGCATTGCTAATATATCAATATTTTAATTAAACAAGCAGATACTGATTTTTGGAATGCAGTCTACAATGTAAGAATAACATTCTGTAATAAGAACACCTGCCAAAGTACTAATTTGCATTATTACTGGTGATAAGGCACCTTGTTATCCTACATAGGTAGGTACCACCATTCTGCCTATTTCTGCCACAAAGAAATGATCCGGCCTAGAGAGTGGGAAAGCTGTAAAACTTTATGTATTTTATATGCTGTTCTTTCCAATGATATATAGATTTCAAGTATCAAGGTGTGGTCTGCATTCTCATTGTAATGACTGTTAGGCACTAAATGCCAAATGGGCTGTGATTTCATTCACTTGCAAATACTATAAAAATAAAGATCATTCACGGCAAGTGAATTTTTTACCACAAGCAAGCCTTAAATCGATTAGTTTAGTTTCATGTTTTTACTTTAGAATATTTTGACATATAGAAGGCATATCACTCAAACATGGTAATAAATTCACAGAAGAAAAATATCTTATGTTTCAGTTGATACGCCAGCAAGCAGAACGAATCAATGAAATGACAACTGTTATGTACAAAGCAATAAATATGGACGAGAATAGTGAAGCCAGGAAGGATGAAGAGCTTTACCAAAGGCTCATTACTGAAAACAAGGTAAGAAGTTTCTAAAGTATTGTACAACATAATATGGTTGATGGGGCTTTCTTCTCCACACACAAATGCTACTTAATTATGAAAGTATTCCATCAGCTTATTTGCTTATAGTTCATAGATTTATTGCAGGTTTAAAAAAAATAATACTTTTATAGTTTTCTGTAAGATCTTATGGACACTATTAGTATGACAATAGATTGAAGATCATTTTAGAAAGAATCTTGGAATAGTATATAAGCAGCTATCGCTTCTATTTTCATGCAGATCCTGCCTATGTGTGGGACTGTCTGTAATACCTTTTATTTATTTGTTGTGTATTTCAGTGAACGAATCACAACCATAATGTGAAAACGGCCACCCACCATCTATGCCTTAATTGTATGATAATTATGGAAAATACAATTTTTGCAGCTTTAATTTTTATTCCACAATATTATTCATTTGTTAATTATTTCATAAGAGAAATTGGTATCTGCCTGATGGATAGTTGCATTGCTTGGCACTGTTGTATGTAATTGTTTATTGAATCACCTTTATGAATGTATAAATATAAAAAAAAAAACTTTTTGTTTTGTTCTCAAAAAATTATTCAAATAATGCCTATTTTGCTTTGCAACAAGAAAATATTTCAGTAGAAACGTAGTTACATTATTATAAATTATTACCAAACTAAATATAGTTATCTTCCATAAAAATTACACAATAGATATAGAGAAAAGAAACTTTACATTACTGTGAACTATTTCGCGACAAAGAAATACGTTTGTAAATTGGATATCATTTTCGTATTTACAGGGCCTGAGAGAAATGCTGGATCTATCTCGAAGGTACGGGTCTGATCGTGTGATGGCGCCTCCAATGGAGGACAAGGACGTTCAAACAGACGGCCCGCCGCTGACGGGAGCGTGACGCCCCGCGCTGCCGGCACACCGACCGACTGCTACCTCGCGCGCTCACAGGTAGATCCTGCAAAATACTCCTGTCTGCACATCTTTATATTTTCACTCACAAAATTAGAAATGTCAAAAGTCAGCTCATCATGGGATGATTTTTATTATCAATTAGTCGGGTTTAGTTTTTTTCAATAATTGAAAGTTAGTATCGATCACAAAATGATGCACACAAAATTCAGTATAAATAATTGCATATGTTTTGTAATAATATACATGTGTATTTAATGATTTCACACAAGGTATTACGGTTTTATTAAATAAAGAAAAAATATTTTACTGCATGTAACGGTTTATTTAACAATGACATGATCTTGTAACTCAAATTTCGTATCAAGTTCATCAAGTATCGTGTTTGGTATCAAGTTTAAAATTTATTTTAATTGAATTTAAGACCTTATTAATAGTTGTTATAAAATATTATCTGAAGTTTTTTTATTGCAAAGTATAAAAGTAGTAAAATCATTATTATGTTACTTATTATTTTAAATTAATAATGAATAAATATTTTTGTATATTCACTCTTTGCATTCACAATTTAAAAGAAATGAATTGTTTAGGCGATATGCCAAACTTAAATGATACATAAATTGAGACACATAAGTGACTTCTCTAAACATAGATCAATTCTTTCCTGATTATGTTAAAATATGTTTCCTTGGTTTTAATTGTAATAAATAGTCTACCCTTAAACTGTATTCTTTGTTGGCTATCCTATTGAAAGGGGTGCATATAAGTTTAAAACGTATTTCACTGTCAGCCAAATCTATAAATTATCATGAAGTTTGTGGTATTTGGCATAAGTTACATGTGGGTTAGTCGTCCTGTTTGTGCTGGTCAAAACTGTTTAAACCATCAGCACTACATACACAAAATGCGCCTGCAATGACGATGTAGCGAAACTTGGGTGTTTCCAATGTTGTTTGCCGGACAATAAAGCTGTACTTTAAATTATGTGTATGATATCTCAGAACTGTAAAGGGGTACTTTGCCTAATGCACATGTGTTTGTAATTCATTTGTGCTGACAGAGAGCTTTAAGCAAAAAACAGTGACCGTTCCAGTATACAAATTTATACCTATTGTTACTCACAAGTTTTGGATCCTAGGTCTATTGACATTGTTTACCTTTCCGCTTGATAAAAAAATGTGACAAGAATACAGTGATACAACATACCTTTCAATGTAATGATTATTTGATTTTTCCTTTATTTGAAGTTTCGGTGTCAATAATTTGTAATGTTCTAAAAAATGTAGGAATAATCGTTTTACTTTCTCATTTAAATTAGAGTTGATGGTTGTAGACGTGATGGTAAATTGTAACGTGTTCAAGTCTCATCTCGTAGATGTAACTTCTTAAATAATATAGTCTCTTTCACAGCTACTGTGATCTTCAAAAAGTTTTTAAATGGTCCATATTCTCAGCGAATTGACCATTTAAACAGTAGAGCATTTAACACTGATAACCTTTAAGTAGTGTTACAACTATTATTTACTTAAGTATGTGAAATAGAACTACATAATATTGTTTCTCTTTATCTGACTTTTAAAGATCTACAAATCAAAGATTAAAGATTACAAAGATCTACAAATTATTCTATATTTGAGGTAGATTATGTATTTTGTATGTTTGTCACACCCCGTCAATGTGTGACCGATTTGGATTCATATTATTAAGTTAAATTATTTTAATTGTCAAGTATATAAATATTATTAAGATAATGGACTTTTGTTAATTTGAAAATAAAATTGTACGCTTACACATACAGTTTCGTAAATTTTTTATTCAAGATTTTAATACTCGTTACTGTATACCTTCAGGTGTTGCTTTGTAAATTTATAGTGTTGTACCCTATTTAGAATGATCTTAGATTATTCGCATTTCACTTATTATGTATTAGTAAACACGATAAACGGACATTATGATTTACTATTCAATTGACACCTGCAAGCTAGTTATAATGACAGTAGATAATAATATTTTACAGGGTGTAAGAGAAACGTTCCTGAGGACAAATGGTATAATTCTTAAAATTCTTACTTTTGCTAAATAAAATGAGTCAATGAATATGAGCAAACTGATTCCAGCTTTGTAAGCCCTGAAAGAGCACTGTCCGGCATCAGTGTAGCTGTCTTGGCAGTCTTAGTACAGCCCCTTTATCTATAGGTGACATTTGGTAAATTTAGGGCTTGTAGCATTTACGTCTGAACCTTTACGGCTTAAAGTTTTTTTTGGGTGTATCGTTGTAACCCTGAGGGCTTTTGCTAGCTTCACAGAACGTGGGTTTAAAGCGTTAGCTGCAGTAATAAGACTTTGGTTAGTTGAGCATTGTTGCGTGAAAAACCTCTGACAAGTTCTATGAGGCGAAGAGGGGATGTTTATTAAAAATACGTATTATACGTAATTTAGTATACCTATTTAGCATAGTTAGTCTCTATTTCGGGTCCAAGCAACAATACCAACATCGGCCTTCGATTATGCCACATAGACATACTGATTTTTCTGTGTTTATATTGTTCCCCAGGTCAGTTTCTATTATTTTTTATTATCGCCGTTAGCTGTCATAGTGAAACTTTGCTTGGTCGTTAATATCTGTGACCTTGCTCGTTCACGAAGCCCGCTATAGAAAGCAGAGTATTAAATACACTTGACATTGGCGAAATCTAAAAGGAAACGCCATAAACCTAAGAGATAGATAGATAAGATTTTTCATTTGCTGTTGAATAAAAATTACTCCTTATAGGGATGTAATGGTATGCATTTAGGCAGGTTTAATAGTTGTAATTATTGGTATTACATTACTGTAGGAGAAGAGCACGAAAAATGCCACCAAATCTTTGAAAGGTTACAAGATGGTATTTATAGGCTGATCTTAGCCCCTAGGATTATTTTTAATTCCTAGTAAGTTGATTGAAATTCATGAATAGTGTGTTTCAAACGTCACTAGCAGTCATTTCTGAGTGTAAATATCTCGCTAAATTTCCAATAAATTTTTGACTGCACCAGTCTTTTGGTTCCTCAGTTCGTTGCCAATGCTCAAGTCCAGGTATTTAAGGTTGATATTTTTGTGTTATGTATTTGCCTTGTGGTAACCTTGAATGTTTTCCATGGCAAATGCTACTTATGTTTTTCTTTTTATTTAAATCAACCCCTATGAGTTCTATTTTAAAAGATGATGTATCTGACCGGTGATTTTAATTAGTTAAGTACGTTTTGAATATCTGGGAACTCGAATAGTTTTGTACCCTCAGTGGGCATGCCGAGGGTATCCATCTCCATTCTGAACATGATGCGTCGTTCTGTTATAAAGTTACCTACCACTTGTCTTCGTTTCAAGGAGCTTTTCCCTTACAACCTGTGTTTTTATTAATGTTGTCAATCACGTCACGTGTAGTCAGTCATTAGCCAGGTTATGAACAGGTCCACAGTATTTCCATTCAACATTGAATGTAGTTACAATAATTTTTCAACCTAATGTTATGAATGTAGTTATATTAATTAAAATATTTATATACATCATATATTATATGCGCCTCTGTTCTTAGATGACAATATTGCCTGTTGAAATTCTTGTTATGCCAGAAATTAAATGAAATTTGGAAATTAATTGTAATGCAAGGCTAATTAACAGGAATGCTTTCAGTGTTTAGACATGTATTAGTGTTATACAATAGCTGATTGTTGCTAGGGAATTTGGAAATGTATACTGATGTCGCGGAGGATTCTCATACAAAATGTTTGTTGAAATGTTACTTTGTACTCAATAAACTGTTAATAAAATGGGCATATTATTCTTCTTTCTTAATTAGATATTTAAAATTTTAATGATATTGAACAATTTCTTTAAATTTATAATGATTTTCACATTATTAAGTATTTATATGATTAGCATTATTGTGTAGTTATAGTTAGTAATCATTTTTATTTTATTTTTAAATTAAGCCTAATTTCAGTTTCGTGATCAATAAAATCTGTACAAATTGTAAACAAGAATAGTACTTAAATATAAAAGAGGAATTAAACAATGGTATGGTTGTCTCTTGATATAATTCAAAATATACCAATGAATCCCATCCAAGGTATGTTTTGATTAAGACCACATATATAAATAAATAAAATATACATGCTTGCTCAAAATTATTCGCGCGCTACCCTGTCGTATGGTAATGGTACAATGCCAAAAACCTCTTAAAGTGGAAACAACTACAAACAAAACACTCCGATAAACGTAGAACTATTTTATGTGTATTATCTGTGAAACGAAGCACGAACACATAAGAATTGAACAAATAAATGAAGAATAGAACAAACAAATAAAAGCGTAGAACAAACCACATAATATAGATTAAGTAGTATTAATTGGTTAAATTAGCCTACTTGCAATAATTATACAGTTTTTACATGACTAATATTTAGACAATGTGTACAAAACACATTTGATGTTTTTGAGACCACTTATATGTTTGTCAGTCAATTTTCTGTTAAAAGAATATACCTTCACTGATCAAGTCATAAGGTTCATTATCGATTACTTGAATAAAAATATAGTATCGTTTCGTTATAAATAACGCTGGAAGTTATGAATTCAAAGATCCGATTAATTCAATATAGTTTAAAAATATATTAATAGTAGAACAGCGACATAAATTACAAGAATTAGTACCCATACACGTATGTATTTATTTGATNTGTTAAAAGAATATACCTTCACTGATCAAGTCATAAGGTTCATTATCGATTACTTGAATAAAAATATAGTATCGTTTCGTTATAAATAACGCTGGAAGTTATGAATTCAAAGATCCGATTAATTCAATATAGTTTAAAAATATATTAATAGTAGAACAGCGACATAAATTACAAGAATTAGTACCCATACACGTATGTATTTATTTGATAAAAGTTCACAGTAAATTTGACCATGAAATTAAACGATAATTTTTATTCTCATCCAGCTCAGATTGATATTTTAGGATTTAAGGTTACTGTAATAACTTAATCTTCTAGTAAAATAGAAAATATGCAGCATTTAATGTTACTCAGCATAAAGTAATAAGTCGACGAGCAATAATATATTAACTTGATTAGTACCATAACATTCTGGTCCAAAATTAATGGTTCATAATAAAATACAATTGTTTCGTAATAATAAAATATTTATCAAAGATTAGCCAATGAAATTGGTTAAAATAAATTACGAATAAACATTTATTATTATTATAGATTCAATTTCCGTTAGTGTAGTCTATAGGCGTTTATCAGAAAAGTCGAAGTGTACACACACTTAAAGTAGTTAATATCTCATTTATTTCGTTTATTTATTAGATTATTATGAATCTAACTGTAAAATTAGAAAAACTCGAATAAAAAATTAAAATAATGTCATAGTATTTTTCTGTAGACGAAATTGTAGAACATGAATTACTATGTATGTTTAAAATGTATTGAATAAATATAAATGAATAAGTGTTTGATTTTTACTCCTAACACTGTTTATAGGGCTATTGCACAACGAAATTTGTTCTTGGGATTATTAGGAAAGCTTTGGACTTTTCATTTTGCGACCTTTTCGTAACTGAAACTCGAAATTGTAAAATCCGCCTATCATGTGAAAAATAGATTATTATGAGTTTATATCCACATATATATCTTGAATAGTAAATAAGTACACGAGATTGGGTTTTTATTGCAGGAAATGAACAAGTTCATGACTTGAATCATCTTGCATGGTGTTAAATTATTACTGGATCTCTTTGATATAACAATGTGGATGCCATCACTTAACTTGAGAAATGAGATCTTAATAGTACAGTTCGACATACAAATGAGTAGTTTAAAACTATTGATTTGTACTAGAAATAGGCAGAGTAGTGATGCCTATCCATACGGACACGATGCACTGCCACCAGTAAAATGTCGTTTTTAATTTTCCTACTAGTCTATTTTACAGGTGCTAAGATGTCGATAAATAATACATCAATTACAAATGTTTTCAGAATTGTCCTTTAAACTGATTTTTTAAATTTAATGTTGCGCAACTTTTATGTTTTGATAATTGTGAATATCATTTTCCAAAGCCTACTGATGCACTTAAATTAATTTTATCATTTATCCCACAACATTTTATTCTGCAATTAATAATTTATTGGCATAATTCAATCACTTTACTAAGATAACAAAAATTCTATCAACAAAAATAATTCTAGGAATGTTTTCCTTTTAAGCTATGTAGACAATAATTTCGGTTGACAATATTTTTACTAACTAAACTTGATAGATACAAATGGTTAAAGTGGAAATAAATAAAAACAATAACTAGGATTTTCAAGTTTATTTGGAACTTCTTAAATAATTGTCATGTTACTTTCCTACTGATGAGAGGTAGGCAAGCAGCACTAATCTACTATTTCTTAATCATACTCTTGTTTGAGTATATTCTATAGGAAACTTGAAGGAGTGTTGTCCAAGAGCCTGGATGTTGGGTAACAAGCCAGCATTGGGAATAATATTCCATGATAATGTTAATGTGACATTGCTGTGACCTCTGAAAAATAAAGTATACTTTAGTGGGTGTATTTTGGTTTATCTTAATATAAATAGAATGGTTTAATTATATTTTTATGTGATAGCAGGGATTAGTTGGTCATACACATTGGCCAACACAAAAATTGTAAAACAACTTTTCGTTTCACACTTTCAAATGAACATAGCCTTTTGCCTATGCTCAGTTCCTCTGTTTAATTTAATAATGAACGAGGTGCAGGAGATAATGCAGGAGGAAACCAACAGCTCATAGGATTGTGGCCTCATTGTTCATGTTGTCAAAATAGTTGGCTAGTTCTCAAGTGGCGGACATACACTGTGATCATGTGGGAGACCTATATCCAACAGTGAATGTCTATAGGCTGATGATTAAATTAATTATTATTGCCAAATCTCTTGTCTAAAAATCCCCATTTGCAGAACCAGGCATTAAGACTATGCCTGTTGTATGTTGATAGTACTAATAAAAGATGTTCTCTGAAGTGCCAACAAAAATTATACTCAATCAAATAAGACGTATACCATGGCAGACATTAGCAAATAAATATTAATATCTTTCACAAAATTTTATACACAATTGCATTGGTTCAAGCTGTAAGAGCAGTGTATGTAGTAATAATAAATTTTAATAAAAAGCAATTTCCTTATGTGTTTCACAAAATAACAGTACTGGCAAAGCAATATTTGTGTGTTTTAAGTATATTGCATCTAGGTATAAATGAGATACATTTGTAAGGCTGTCATAAACATTTAAATGTTTGAAATTAATTTGTCAGATAGACTGTACTTACTTTAAGCCGTTGCCATCGTCCCAGAAATAGTACTTAGTGTTCATGTTCTTGAAGTCTAGCACAGCATTTTCACCTCTTAATATTATTTTGTCCCACAATACAACCTGATTCAATTCATTGCTTGGTGTAATGTATTCGGCAGTGAGATATAAGAACAACTGTTTAACGTTCCAGTTAAAGAGGTTGGACAGATCTGTTTTAAGATCGAAAGTTAAGAAGCCAAGATCATTTCGTTCCCTAGATGCTCCGTAGTCAGGTACGTTTTTACTGAAACAATATAGGTGTTGAGTTTATATAGTTCCAATTTAAAGGAAAGAAGAAGAAAGGGAAAGTTTTGTTGCAACTTACACTACTACTTTAACTGTATTCATTTGGGCCCCAGTTCTGTAGTCCACAGTCAGGGTTGATAAAAAACACAAGAAAGTAAGACATGCTAGTACGCTTAGCGTGTATGTCAGTATTGCATTTCCTCTCGTTAACACGGAATACATGCTAACAAACTAATTTGATTTAAATTATTACTAAAGATTCAGACACTTTCTCAATTTTGAGGTTTTGTTTTTCGTTGACGTTTGCATTGAGTCCCTTCGATGACGTTTGGGACACGTCATGTATTAATCAAAATTTAGTTTCTGAACGGAGACAAAATTTGGTGGCTTTAGACTAATTTCACTTGCACTTTATTCAGTTATTAACGGCCAACATTTACATCGTCTTAACGCTTATATCTAATTTTTATTAAATATAAAATTTAAAATACCAAATATTTTATTGATGTTTACCGACGATTTGGTTTTGGTGAAAACATTGTTAGTCGTAAAAAAGTCTAATTTTCCGTGTCCGTGTCAAACACTCAGATATACACTTAACATTTTGATAGTCTAATATGAAATAGAAATAAATGGAAAAGAAGCGGATTTCCATGCTGAAACAAGAAAGAATACGAAGTTCTGTCATCGTACGAACGGATATCAACTCGATTTATTTTAAATTTAAAATTGATGAAAAAAACATTTTTTTAATAAGAATACTTCTTGTGTTACTTTTATTATTTAATTATACAACAGCAAATACTTTTTTTGCATCAACAGTATCGTAACTGTTTGTAAAATATCCCAAAAGTTATTATTTTACAGATAGGCATAGAATAGAAAGGGCAATTCGGGGTTGGAATATTTCTTTCGCAGACTGGCACTTTAACGACTCAGTAAATTCGCACCAATGGACTTGGACATAATTTCATTTCATCTTGTTTCATTCCATTGGATTTAATTTAATTTCCGAAGAGATTTTTTTTTTTTAAAACAAAGTATATGACGTATGTAAATAAAAATAATTAAAATCATATAATATAAACTCGACGCTGGCAACAATAGCATCGCAAGATTGCCATACTGAAAAAAGAAAAGATTTGGACCTTTAGATTTGCCAGGTTTCTAACTTCTTTCATGACTAGTTTCGTTTAGGGCTATTGAGGATGTACGTTGGGCTGTCGTTTGGGTCGGGATTCCGATTAATGGGTAGTATGGAGTCTAAAGATAAGTTAGAGGACGGTGGGCGGATCGGACGCTTAAGCGAGCTAAATAATACTCTTCTTATTCACTAATGATCTTTGTCCACGAAGTTTCTCGCCGGATCTTCTTAGAGGGTCGCGTTTCCGATCCGGTGGTAGACTGCGAAGCACTGCCCTTGCTAGGGCCAGTGTTGGCAACACTCCTGGTTTGAGCCCCGTGAGCTCACCTACACGTCAAGGAGAAGCTGAAATAGCCTCTCAAGGCTATCAACATTTGAAAAAAATTATCTGAAATTTTTGCGACTTTCTGTCTGTCAAAATTATTTGAATTTTTTTTTAACGATGTATGTAGGTCTTTTGTTAGTATGTACATATTATAAATAATTACGTATGTATGTAATGTTAGCATTAACTTTGTGAGCATGATAGCATGGGTAAGAACAAACATCAGGAACAAACATCTTAAGTAATGACTATCCAGACTAAGGTGTCTTCAGCGGTGTGTATAGATGTGGTGTAGGGTTCCGGGATGATAGAAGATTCTTAATATACATATTTGTCCAGCCCCACAATAAATAAGAAGCTACATCTTCATTAAAATTCAACAAAAAAGTTTGATAGTGATGTAGCCTTTTTTTATTCTTTCGTTGCCTTAGTATTAGATTACTTTTTTTCCACAAATATGTTTATACCTAACTCTTGGTTTGTAAGCAGACTACTAAATAAACAAGTAGAACATCTGTGTACATTAGAAGTGCTATTTATAGTTTCATGTGTATTCGAAAGATTAGAAGGCAACTGATCGGTGACGGAATTAAACTATAGAGTTCAATTAAGCGGTTCAATAAAATCAACGAATAGCTTTTATGAATATCAGGTGTATATTAGTTAAATAACTTATATAAAATCACTGTAAGTATTATTGAAATAGAGAGGCTTTTCCGCGTTGCATTATTGCATGGCAGTCCTCCCGGGATCGGTCGGCAGAAGCACACTCTTGTGACGTAGCTGCCGTCGGTTTGCGTATAGCATCCGCTAGTTATGGCGTCACCGTTGCTGTTCACTGCACGGGTGCACATGGCTGTTGAGTTTTCCACTGTAAATAAACAAACTATTACTGTAGTTGATTACTTTACATTGATATCCCGTATTCTTTTTGGAACGAAGTTCCTTATGGGACGATGCGGAGGGGTACCCTAACCGGGAAAAAACGTCCGTAACGTAAGATTTTTATTCGTAATGCACACAGTGTACGACTTAACTTCATAATAACGTACAAAAAATAACATATTTTTTTATCATTCATTGACCACGATCTCAGAGCGTTTGTTTGCGCAATACACTAACTCTTATGCAAACAACCATGAATGAAGTGTACCACAATAAGTTCGCACGTTACCGAATGACCGTGGGTTGTTGCGAAACCTCCAGCTTTATTTTCTTTATACCTCGAATAGAACTTAAAATTAATATTTTTATAATAAGGAACTTCGTTCCTATCCGGTGACGCGCGACACCACACATCTTTTTTTATTGCGTAGTTAGGTGAGCTAGCTCATGGTCCACGTGGTTTGTTGTTACTGCAGTCTATAGACGTCATAACGTGAATGCTGCCTTGCTGATAAAATACTCAGACACCGATGCTGCCTATTTTAATGTGAATCTCATACATATTTTTAACGAACAAACGGGATGGAGTGTTGCTAGTCTAGGACATGAGCTTAAAGTAAGAATACGAAATTTGTATCGTTTCTATTTTTGTTTTTGTAGATGACCAAATGAATACCAGGCCATTAATGCTAAAAAGTAATTGGAGTTCATATATATCAGTCAAGCCTCAAATTGATTAGTACAATGGTTGTTTTAATATTAAATTTGTTTTTTTTTTCCTGAAAAGATTTAAGTTTTGGTTTACCAAAGCCTACTGTTAAACGTTTCTTAATCCTGTCTTGTAATCTGACTGTCTGTCACTGGATATAACAGAGACACCATAATCGTGCCTATGCGGATAGCAGAATTACAGAAAAAAATATACTATTTTTGAATATACATTGCACCATTGCACATATGTAGACTAGCACCTATGTAATTTGTCGATGGGCCGCAAAAATAATTGAAATATTAATTGGTGCGGTTCTAATATATGTTTTAAAGTTTCCAGTTGTGTTTTCGTTTTAAAACCTTTTTCTTTTCGAATGTAGATCTATTCGGATTAATGGTAAATGGTTTCCTATGGTTATTTGCATGTGGCGTGTTACTTACACTTGTCTTATATGCTGTGGAATCATTATTTCAAACTTATCACTTACCCTTTCCATCATAGTAATAGCTGTAGGTAGCACAGATATCATTACTGGCAATACAGGTCGCGTTTAAGGCATAATTCCTCCAAATATATTCCACGTCAGGCCACGTACCATCATCTTCAATTAATCAATTAAAACCATAGTATAAGTATAGAAATGTATTTGTTACTTTGTACTGATTTTATATGTTTGTACATATGTTTTTTTAAGTCTGGTAATGTGCATGTAGTTGTGTTGTCTAAAGCTTGTTGACATTTTGTTTTAAGGACCCACACATACATAGATAACTAACTACCTAAAAGATCTGATTATTTAATGATTTTGAGCCACTGGCAATTATGTTTGAGTTGGTGGATTTTTTTGTTGCTTATCTGTGGCAGACGAGCTTATGGTTCATCAGATAGTGTCATCCCCCATGACTTTCGGCAATGCCAGGGGTCAGTTCTGTTACCCACTCATAAGGACTATATTTTATTCAAGCTTCGTTTGAACAGAGACCAGTGCGCTTAGTGCGAGCTTTTTAACATTGGCGATAGCATAAAAGTTAATTCAAATTTTTATTAAGCTGGAACGTTTGCCTACGTTTGCCACTAGGGGCGCTGTTCCAACTGCATACAAATTTAAGTTAACTTTTACGCTATCGAGAACGTTAAAAAACTCGTATTAAACACACAGGCTGCCGGCGACTGGAAGAGGATATTTCTGCCGTGAAGCAGTAATGCGTTTCGGTTTGAAGGGTGGGGCAGCCGTTGTAACTATACTGAGAACTTAGAACTTATATCTCAAGGTGGGTGGCGCATTTACGTTGTAGATGTCTATGAGCTCCAGTAACCACTTAGCATCAGGCGGGCTGTGAGCTCGTGCAACCAACTAAGTAACAAAAAAAAAATGAGGCAGACAGAGACGAGCGCCCTCACGCCTTGCCGCCTGATTTAATAAGACGATACTCGATGATACAAAACGACAAGAAGTTGATGAGCCGATAAATCTAGTTGCGAAAATAATCAAAGGTCGTTTCCTAGCAGTGGATAAGTGTAGGCTGATTATTAATCTTACGCGAGACGACTAGCGGGGCTTCACACGGAACTCCGTCAGCGAGCCGCGTCGCATCCTGGCACGTTGCGTTTAGGAACACGCTTTCGTTGTTGAACCTCGGACCCAACCAGGTGTAGCGGAAGCATCGTGCTTCTCGCGTGTGTGTTGCTATTGCGAAGCCGCCTGTAAATTCATTTTATAAAATTAATTAATGAGACTATTATTATAGCTACTTTATTGCACAATCTCATGACAGAATAATATTGACGGGTAATCGTGCGAAAATTTGAAATAAGGAAAAAAATATTTTGACTACAATAACAATAATCGAAAAACTTCGATGACACCTAAAGCAGCTTTCGCTGTTTAGTCTGGTTGTCCAGAAAGTAATCAATGCTAATAATGCATTTTTAATTAATGCTATTCACATTAAAAAATATAATATAAAATATCAAATTATAAAAAAAAAAAGTACAATATTAGATAAGTAAACAGGAATGCAGTATGTACTTACGTACCTATGTTACTATGACGCGCTGACGTGATGAAATTAAAATTAAAAGGGTTATTTATGTTTTTTTTTAACAAAAACCTTTTTAAGGTCATCCAGGCTGTGGTGTAAGGTGTAAGGTTCGTACAGTTAGTATATATAATAATATGTTATTCTTCTTTATGTATTATTTATCTTGTTCTACAAAATAAAACCCTCAAACTTACTACAGACACAACAATAAGGCGAAACATTATGCTCATAAGAAATGTAGATAAATTATTAGAGGAAATAAAGAAAAACTAAAACAATACCTAAATAGGTGATCAGGAATGAAATTTCCGTCAGGATTTCTGTACTTCACAAATAACCTACTTACCAACCTACAAACCATCGTTATGCAGACATAATACTCTGCTTGAAAACATTAAATGACGAAGCAATAATATCATAAACAGAAAAACATTTGTTAAATATGGAACAGGAATGTGATGATGAATCGATGTTTTGCATAAATACTTCTACACAAATCAGATAGAATAAATCATGCGTGAATTAGGGACAAGACATTTCACAATTATTCAATACAACGGGTACTCGAAGCAATAAAGCCGTTTTATATTTTATATATTACAAATATTTGATAAAGAATTTAACGAACATAATCTGTGATTACTACGCACTGTCAATGAAATACAAAGAGTGTCTAAATAAAAAATAAAAAAAAAAAAATTATCTATTTGATCACTCTAACTACCCTTAAAATCAAACTATGCTATTAATACTTACAAGCCAATAAAACAGCTGCAATCACTATAAAGTTGTAGTTAACTTTAATCATTATAATAATATGTCACTGTGGAGTCTGAGGTACTTGCGAATCCATCAAAAATGTGGCCACAAATAAAACAACGTGCAAACAACAACGGTAATATGTTTATTTGTTTTATATCGATCGCAATACTTTTATCATTTTGATTTTAATTCGACACTTATCTATTCTGTAAAAGTATTATCTATTACTCATTACGAGCGCGTTGGACTGATTTGAATGAATGATTAGATTGTGGGAGAATTTATTTTCAATGGCACTCTTTATCGGAATGCCAAAAAATATCCCAGTAAATGGAAAAGCCAGAAAAATAACGTTTTCTTATACTTGATGAACTTTTCTATTGATATGCAGTAAAACAGTTGCATAGTCTTTAAATACGTTAAAATGTAAATATTCGGTTGGCAAAGTATATACTATAAATATATAATTATAAAGGTATATAAATAGTATATAGTAATCAATTTAAAACTGAAGTAGAACATTATGATCACAAGCTGTCATGAAAGAAAACCACAATTTATATTTATTTATGTCTCGTTACGACTTTAATGCGCCACCTACCTTTAGACATGAAGTCGAAGTCTGTCTCAACCTTTGAACCGGAACACTTGCCTGCTTCGAGTAGAAATATACAGGATGGCAGCATAGACATAAAATCCTGGCTCATAATGAGTTCGTGATTAAATTGGATTGGTGATTTTATCTAAATACCGTTTCATTTTTATGACGATTTGAATAATAAGCAATACGCTTACCGATCTTTAGATACCACACTCAAACTCAGTATTCGTTAATATAAAATTTGATTTACATAGATCTAGTGTCCCGTAAAATCCTCAGTAGCCAACGATTAGCGTCAGTGGACGCATGTACCTAATGTCTTTGTCCGGCTTATTTGTGTGTATCTGCAAATTTTAAACCTACGAAAAACTGGCATGACTTGACATAAAATAGATTGACGTTCTCTCTGAAATAGAGTCTATCGACCACAACTAGAATGCTGATTCGCCTTGACAGTGCCAGTGTGGCAGTGTGGTGGGTCGTTGATCACCGGCTCAATCTAAATCAGTCATGAGGGGATGTTTAGATGATCCAGGTTACCTCGTCGCCTCGTTGCTCTCTAGGCAAGCACTCACCTACTCCTCGTCTAACTAACCTTTATAATAATCTAGTCAGAAAAGCTGAAAACCTTGACATATTTGGCGATTCCCTTCCAATATTCAGGAACAAAATTATAAAAAGTTGTTGTTGAACCTCAGCCTCAGCCTTGGTCTGAGTACTCGGGTATTACTGTCCTTGTTGTCTTTCTTTTGTTTTTATTTTTTTATTATTATTAATAGTATTGTTAAATCTCTATTGATATATTAATGTAATGCATGCTGTGATTGCCTCTAATTAGAGTTGCAGTTATCAATTGCTCTATACATGTCAATGCTATTTTATGTCTTACTGTAAACCCTGTCGGTAATCCTTAAATAAATAAATAAATATAGATATACAGAACCAGACTGTTGAGAGCCGCTGCGCCATTTTGAGAAGGCGGCACGACATGAGAACCCTCTCATCGTAGCCGCTGGAAACTACATACCCGACCCAGTAGACCGAATGGTAAACCGTCGACGTCGCCCAAAGCACGTCATTACGGATCCTCCTGATCCATTAACGGTGCTTTTAGGCACCACAAGCATCGGTCATCGTCCTCATCGAACCCTGTCGCTTACAACGAAGGGCTCGACGAGCGAACATAGACACAGCCCACTGAGTTTCTCGCCGGATCGTCTCAGTGAGTCGCGTTTCCGATCCGGTGGTAGATTCTGCGAAGCACTGCTCTTGCTAGGGTCAGTGTTAGCAACTTTCCGGTTGAGCCCCGTGAGCTCACCTACAACGTTAGGGTGAACAAAAGGTCCTACCACCAGTAAACCAGTTTGAAGTCTGTTAAAAATTTACAACATTACCAATGGAACAGAAAAGGAGGTTATTACGGCATAATACCCATATTGGCAATTTGCATATGAGCTTACAGGAGGGTCTGCGATGATACGTGCACACTCAAATGAAATTATTCCGCGCTCGCCATCGGCGGACTATAAGCCGATTTCGTCTAACCTCGTTCAATCAGCGAGCTCTGAGAACGGGTGTACGTACGTGCGCTGTGCACAGATTTCAACGGAAATAGATACGACTGTGGGATAAATTTTTACATTTTATGACCGGTTACCGTTTTATGAACTTATGGCAGGATTTGGGGGAGGCCTATGCGAAAGCAAAACAATCTTAGCCGATGTCAAATGAAAAGAAAAATGTACCTAAATATGAATTAAGGTTGTTAATAAAGGCTTCTTTATCTTTATCTTTATTTTTACCGTTTTATTAAAAAGACTTGTTGAATATTTAGAAAGGCACAGTGTGTATTTTGAATCTATATTGTGGTTAGTTTACTTTATTTTCAAAGTTCATTAATTCTAGAACAATTTTGAATTTTCGTCATTTTGGTACGTACAATAACTGTTACTTATTGCATCTGGCAGCACATTAACGATTCTTTATAAGAAAAAAAATTCATTATTTAATTATAATAATCAACGCATTTGGGTGCCATGTAATACTAATTCGACTATATAAATTTCAGTTTTCGTATTGATTAATGAATTGAGTTTGAGAATGTCTTTTCAATTTGTTACTAGAACCTTTCAAAGCTTATTTAATTTAAAGGTTTTTCTATAAGTATTGCACTGGGTTTTTTTGGTCCAGCGTATTGCTTTAAGAACTCTATGCCTTCTTCGAAATAAAATTACTGATTGGAACAAAGGCAAATATCGAGTACTATAGATTCCAGTATAGATTTTAAGCCAATTACGTTCGCTTTTTTGTGCTTTTCTCACGGAAATGAACTACGGAATATGTACGTTCATTAGTGTTTTTAAAATTAAAATCGTAAGTCTATAACCAAGACTTTTCTAAAATAAATTAGTTTATATGTATTTAGTACTTTATATACAAACATAGTCATAGTTTTTTTTATTAATACTAACGTCTTATATTCAATTTTCTAATGATTTTTAATACGACTCTCACTAACTACTAGCATTTATTCCATCAATATATTCCTAAATAAACCTAAATATTATTATATTATTGTCTACAAAAGCTACAATTACGCGGAGTAAATGTGACCAGCACTTTTTTTCAGTAAACAGAATCACAATTCAAAAGTTCTTAAAGGACTTTCTTGTTTTGTTCGACATGTTGCAAGAGGCTAAGAGGTGCCTTTATCTCTTTATTTTCCCAGCACTAGGTGCAAGACAGGCAAGGAGCTAGAAAAACATTCTTCCGAACAATATTTACTTTGTGCAGACACCCTTTGACTTTCGAGAGTTTCTTGAAAGTTTTACCGTAAATTCGATATATGTTCGTTGTGTTTCTGTTGTTTACTTACACCTAATTTTCTTTACGTAAATTCGGTATAGAATTTTTTAATATTTCAACAACCCTAGCCGCCGACTTAACCTAATAGGTAGGTGTATGGCTTTAATAAAGAATAAAAAAAAACCCTAGTTTGTTTATTTATGATATTATTGTGTATACCTTTAACATGTAAAGTGGTGGTTTGTCGTTTTCCATTGAAAAGACGAAATATACAAAATTTATATGTCGGTAATAAATATTTCTCTAAATAATAAAAAAACTTACCTGCATTCATATTTTAGGTTTTTTTTATTGCTTAAATGGGTGTTAAGTTGTTACTGGAGCGCATAGACATCTACAACGCAAATGCGCCACCCACCTTGAGACATAAGTTCTAAGATCTGCCCCACCCCTCAAACTGAAACGCATTTCTGCTTCACGGTAGAAATAGGGAGGCCGGTGGTACCTACCCGTGCGGACTCACAAAAGGTCCTACCAACAGTAGGCTGGCATTTATCACAATGTCAAAACCGTCTCAAACTATTTCCTAATGTTTATGTTCAAATATGTCAGGATAGTTTTTGTATTTCACGGGTAAAGGTTTTTCCAGTTAGATATAATAATGAGTGAGTGCAAATTTAATAACTACTTTATGAAATTCTTATTTACAGTATTATTTAAAACGATTCGCAGTTGAGATTATGAGATCTTCTTCAGTTTGCAGTGAAACAAACAGAAAGCCAACGGAAAATTATCTTCTATTTAAAATAATGTCCTCATGAAATTAAGCAGATGACAAGGGAATCTATATTTTAATTAAAGAATGTCGACAAAGTTAATAAGAAGGGCGTTCATTAATCTTAGTTCATGGCTCGGGACGCTGCGTTTCTTTAAGGCACAATTTACTGAAGTGGATCTTTAATTAACACATCATGGAAAATGAACTGCATCTTGTGAAATATTCAATTATTTTGGGACGACAAACAATTGTCGGCTTTTGTTAAAAAGTATACAAGGTATTTCTATAGACAAAATCCACTGAGTTTCTCGCCGGATCTTCTCGCAGTTTCGATCAATTGTTAGATGCGGCGAAACACTGTTCTTGCTAGAGCTAGTGATGGCAAATTATCTCAAGTTGAGCCCGTGAGCTCATCTACCCGTCCGTGATTAGAATAGCCCCATAAGATACCAACGATTAGGTGAAGCGAAAAAAGGGATTAAGATGTAGGGTCTAAGGTAACATGAAATAAGATAGAACAACTTTGAAGTCATCGTCGCCTAAAGGTTAAGACGTCCGGTGCATTCGTATCGAGCGATGCGCTGGTGTTCGAATCCCGCAGACAGGTACCAATTTTTCTAATGAAATACGTACTTAACAAATGTTCACGACTGACTTGCATGGTGAAGGAATAACATCGTGTAGTAAAAATCAAACACGCAAAATTATAATTTGCTTAATTACTGTTAGTAAGATGTCTTGAGAATCCGCACGGGTAGGTGTCACCACTCCGGCTATTTCTTCCGTGAAGCAGTACTGCGTTTCGTTTTGAAGGGCGGGGTAGCCGTTGTACTGTAAAAACTGAGACCTTAGAACGCATATCTCAAGATAGGTGGCGATATTTACGTTGTAGATGTCTATGGGCTTCAGTAACCACTTAACATCAGGTCGGCCGTGGGCTTGTCCACCCACCTAAGCATTAAAAAAATAAACTTATATTGTTACTCCAAAAACAACTACAATAATGGTACCAAATATCAAAAGTAATTCTGTAATGATAGACTGAGTAGTGCAGTAAATTTAAATTGGAACAGTGTAATGACAATTCAGACTTTGAACTCATGTCTCAAAGTGGTTGGCGACTTCACGTTGTGATGTCTATAACAACAACTTAACACCGAATGGACCATTAGCTTCGTCAGCTTATTCAGAGTAACAGAAATAAAATTTCGGAGCATGAGAGTGAAAATTTAATATGGTATAGTTATTGGAGTTTTCATTCCAGTTGATATAGATACAAATTGAACTTTTTAAATTTCGAATCGATGTCGCCTATCTAACTATGAGATCAATGGCATTCCAAATGTACAATAACCGTTATGTTTTTGTAGTGCCTATATAATGATCTACAACGATAGAATAATAGACAGTTCACCTAAATTCTAAATAATCAATAAGCCCACTGTTTATTTTTGTAGCTTCTGTAACAAAAACTAATTAACTTAAGCTCTTGCACAATACACTAACTTTTGAAAATAACATTCTGTTGTATTTAAACTATTATTTGTACTCGTAATGTACACTGAGAAATGAACACGTTTCCACACGAATAAGCTTTCGGAGCTTCCCGATTGAATTCTCAGAGGATAAGGAAAATAAAATACCATTGCAGCTTTGAGGTTCCAGACATATTTTATGTTCATTTTACACAACGGCTCTAACAACATTTTTATTGAAAAAAAATAATTTATGGTACAGAAAAAGATGAAGTAATAAAAAAAAACGTTCAATGTTTCAGATACACTTTATTTACTTAAAATTTGACATAAAGTTTCTAACTTAAAACCCATTTATTTAAGCGATACTCGTACAAAAGTAAAAAAATAGGTGAGTAGTTAGGTACATTGGGTACAAAAATATAAAATTTTAACATGCTATCTACAGTAAATCTATTTACAGTAAATACCCTAATAAGATAAATAAGAATGTTTATTTACAAAGTATCCATTATAATACTAATGTACAGTATAAAATGAATTAGAATATATGTATTTATTAACAAACATATTTTAAAGCACCTATAATATGGGAGTCGCGATTTCGAAAAACTTTATAAAGAAGCTCTACTTCACAGCGTTCATGTGCCCACAAAAGCTATAAATCCCGTAGTTTTGCTGCTTTTGCACTGTTTACTGTTCACTCGCTCGCGTATAGTTTATCACGTGCACTGCTACAACACACTCACATTTTAAAGTTTCGTTTCTTCAGCAAAACTTACGGTATTTTCATCATCACTGCACTTGTTTTCGTCCGTGATTTATTTAACGTCCACCCACATATTTAACTAGATTTGAACGGTCACTTAACCTACATATGGGTAAGGTGCGAAGGGTGGCGGGAAGTATCCCGGGTAGCCCGCCGAGGCTTGTACAGGTATCGATGAGGTTACGTAGGAAGTAAGCACGGTCGGTACGACTTTGGTCGTGAACAATGTCGTGTACACGGTTTTCGCACCGAAAGTTAATTTTAGAATTTGACTATCAGTTGCTATTACTTCGGTGTTCATGACGACCGGTGTCGAAATTAGAGTAAACTGTTGTTGAGGGAACAAAGGATTGATCGGTTGCAGAGGCAAAGCAGGCAAACTACTCGTTCCTATTTCGTACTCTGTTTTCGTGACAGTTGCAATGGGTCGTGAAATGGTGCTTTGCACTGTATTTCTTCCGTCGAAGAATGGAATGACATGCGATTCATAAATGGTTTCGTATTTGAAAATAGGTTTCGAAGTCGTAACGACGTTAGGTATTTGAGCTGCAGCGGCTGGATTGAGGAGTCTAAGCAGAGCCAATTGTTGCGCTTGTTCGGGAGTTAAAGCGGGAGTCGGCACGTTTGGTGCTTCCGTTACATGGTTTGCTTTGTTTTGTCCGTGTGCTTTTTTGAGCCTTAAATGGTTGTCCGCTCCGTATTTGTCTATTTCGGTTAAATCGAAATCAGAGCCAATATTAGCGAGATCCAATTCTGGTGGGAAGACTCGTCGAGGAACACCATCTTCGTCTTCGGTGCTATCTCCAAAATCTAGTTCCAAATGTAATTCTGAACCTGCTTCGTCCAGTCGGCTGTTGAATTCCTTTAATGTTTTGCTGGGTATGAATTGGAAGTAATCCATTGGTGGTAAAGTTTTCGTTGCCGTAACGAATCTTGTGATTTGGTATGTTTGAATAAAAGTCAAGCTACTTGTCATGTTGACGTCTCTTACTACGGGTAGAATGTGAGTTTTAAGCATGTTTTGCGTTGTACTGAATGTTTCAGTAATAGTTTCAAGTGGCGGGGTTTCCATGTCAGAAGGCAGCGTTATAGCTGGTAGAGTAGCGATGCTTGAATCTAAATTGTGATCTTTGCCATAGGGAGATGCGGTCGCCAATATGTTTTCTGTCAAAGGCTCGTTGAGAGAAATTTGCGATGGAGCTACTGTTGGTTCTAAACGTTTTTCTATTGTTGAGGTTACTGTTATGACACGAGTATTTTTAACACGTCCAACCTGGAAAAGAAAAGAAAATAGGATTTCAAGTACATCCTCACAAATATTAATTTATTATTTAATTGTATCTCTGGAAAATTAATTTGGAAATACATCATACTATGAATAACATATTTTTTTTTAAATGAAAATTTAATTCTGTGAAATGTGTAATATGTACGTATGTAAATATTGTTTTAATTCTATAGATAGTTCTTTTGTACCTGGAAAGTATAGGGCGATTTAATTGTTGCAATTTCGTAATACACGTCACTGAAGTCGGCAGGTGTGGAAATTTCGACTTTTAGTGTTTCAACTGGTGGCAGTTTTTCAATTGAATTGTCCTCAGTGTCATTGTCAAGTAGCGTGCCTGGACCACTTTGAGATCCAGAGAGCTCAAGATCGTTATCTGATCTTGCTTGAGGAGAAATATCGTTTAATTGCGTATCATCCAGAAGAGGGTTGTTATTAGGGGTCGTTTGTTGCAGCTCCTCCTCACTAGTGGCCTTACGGATGGTTACTTTAGGTTTAGGACTAGTTTTGTACTGCCATCGTCCTGAACCCGGAGTTCGGTTCAGTTTAAATTTATAAAGACTTGTTGATGGTGCTGGAGTCACTTGTTCGACTGGAGATGGCTGAGCTCGAGGTTTGAATCCTCGCCGAGACTGATTCTCGTTGTTGTTGGCGGGAGTCACCACAGATTTGTGACCTGAATTTCGACTGCTCTTTCTTCTATTAGAGAATGACGGTGTCGCTGTTTCACTGAAAACAGACACAGTTGCCAGTTGAGCTGTGTTTGCCGGACGGCCAAAACGAGTACTGAAAATAAATAATGAATTTTCAACAAACTACATTTAGCAGCATTAACGATAATTTAAAAATAAAAATAGTATTCTAATGTCCGAATGAAACGTGCATTAAGATATTATAGTTGATGATTGTCTTAAATTGAAAAATATATCGGAAATATCTCCTTTGAGTAATGGCGACTAGCTCGTTAGAGAGACGTTTGATGATGATGAATTCTAGCCGTATGTGAGTTGTTTTTACGTTACCTGGGAGTCCTTTGGGCATTTCGGTTTTTGAATTTTTTGCTTTGATTAGCAGGACTGTTGTCGTGATTATCGTTTTCAGCAAAGTTTTGGGATCGGTGTCGATTTTTAAATGAGCTGCCACTTATTGTTTGTCTGCGTGAGGTTTTACCAAAGCTACTATCGTCATCAGCAATAGAAGGAGTCGGTTCCAAGTTGTGTCTGTGATTTTTAGAAATAGCTGGTGCGGCTGTTTTAAGGATTCTGTGTGTGGGAGAGGGAGATATTTTGGCTCTATGACCGGCCGGCTGTATAATTTTAGAGTTACTGTTTAAAACTTGTGCATATTTTCCAGAAATGTATGTTCCTATGACACTTGTTTCATGGATCGTTGTAAGTCCATCTTTGACGATGGTACCGCCTAAAGTAGTTACAAGGCCGAGAGGGTGTTCGTCGTCATCCGAAGGAGGGCTAGGCTGGTGGGCTCTATTCTTATGAGCGTGCTTTGGCTTCGATCCATGAGTTTTAGAGGGTCTGATGTTAATTACTTTGTATGTTTCTTCAACAAATTCAGAGGGTTGTCGCGACAAGAAATCGTATTCCGGTTCGCCTAAATTATTGTTCGAGATTAATATAGCTGGTTCTTCGTCAGACTGACTCGATTTTACTTGAACAACGCTATTGATTTTGGAGCTTATTATCGACGGTGGCGTGCCTTGTTTTACTTCAACTTTACTGCTCACGATGTTTGTAACGCTCTTAATTTCGTTCTTTTTATTCTTGTTACTAGATTGAGAGTTCTGTTTATTTGATTTTTGTTTTAGTGAACTACTTTCTACTATTTTTGAAGGTCCTGCTACTACTTCGACTTTTGTGATGACTTGGCTTTGTTCTTTAATTGTTGACTTTGGAGTGTTTCCTTTCTTTTCCTCTTTTTTAGGAGATGAAGAGACCACGTTTACTGCACTTGACACAACAGCTGGTGGAGCCGGCTTATTGGTTTTGTTTTTGTCTGACAGTTTACTAGGTTTGATGGCTTCCGGGTTGACATTTGTAACTGATGGCGGTGGAGGTTTCGTTTCGATGATGTTTTCTTGAACTGACTTTTCAGTCTTGGGCGGTTCTGGAAGGATAAAAGATAATTTTATTAGACGTGTCAAATTAGCATAGTGACATAGCATATTAGCTCCTACCAAACATTTTTAATTCTTTATCGACGTCTCCTCTCCTACCACCATCCTTTTTTGTTCGTGCAAGGAAAAATCTACTACTTTTGTCTTTTCCCATGATTTGGAAAAGGGGAAGATAATGTTTGAATGTCTGTTGGGCTCAGTCTAGTGACGTGATAATACCAGGTAATAAAGTCTCATCCATATGCTTTAATTTCAGAATTTCAGGAACGGCATTATATATCCTGATCAGTTTCGGCACCTTTCAAGTTGATCCATGTCAGCCAAGGAGTTCAAACACAGTGCTCAACTTTTTGTTCGATTTATTCAAGCCTTAGTTGTGGAAGAAACAGATCTCAGTCTATGACATATGAGCCGAGGCGCATTTTACACAATCATATATACGTCGAGTTTTTAATTATTCTCTGAGTAGTCGTGGCTGGTTTTAAAACCGTCATGGCTTAAATAATAAGGCGTACAACAATTCTCTTATCCTTTCGCATCGAGCTATGTGATTATGGTTTAAGCCCACATAATCCCTAATGAAATACGTCAAAATACGTAACTGAACGAGTGACGTCGTTTAACAGGAGTTAAATTCGTAAAATGTATTATTTGCGTGAATACTTGTGGTAGGACGTTTTGTGACTGAATGCACCCATGCCCGAGGTACCACGAGACTGCCTATTTTTGTAATGAATAGTGGATCAAACCAATAATATAAACCGGATCCCATAATCTCATCTTAAGATATCCTTTATTTTATGGCAGGCAGCGGCTTGGCTTTGCCCCTGGCATGAGCGACGGTAACCACTTACTATCAGGGGGGCCGTATGCTCATCTGCCTACAAAGGCAATAAAAAAGAGGGAGGCAGCATTCGGCTGGTCGGCGGCGGTGGTCATATCTACGAGGTCCGATAGCCACGTAAGATCGGACGTTACTACATTCAGCCAACGACCCAGCCCAGATAATTCCACCTGGGGTAGTGACAAGACTGTAACGTTCATCTCGTTCGGCTGCACTGTAATACGAAGAGATTATCGTGGTACATAGTACCTACTCAGAGCCTTCATTGCGTGAAACAATTTATTTCAATAAATTTAAATGGAATATAACAGTGCGTGTACTATAAAAGTAACAATACGCCTATTAATGAAGCAATTGCAATTTGAATTGAACTGTATTTAAATTGAATAATTTTAAGGAGAAATATATATATTTCCTAGATACGACACACACAAGTGTGAGTGATTGAGAATCACTGCTGTAGGAAATTGAAACAATTTTACGAAACATAACAAATTAACTCAAATATATATAAAAAACAAGTCGACCTGGCGGAGGCGCTGACTGTGGCGAGAACACCATTACGGTATTGCCAATGGTTGTCGTGAAGTCCAAGAATCCATAGACAGTCTGAGTGAGGAGATTTCCTTGTGCTCGTACTGGTGTCATACAACCTGAAAAAGAGAATGTTTAAAACCTTTTTTATAAATCTGTACTTCTGAACGAAAACACAAAGTCGTCTTGAACGAAAACACAAACACTGCATTCGTATCTAGCGATGCAACGGTGTTCGAATACCGCAGGCGGGTACCAATTTTTCCAATAAAATACGTACTTAACAAATGTTCACGATTGCCTTCCACAGTGAAGGAATAACATCGTGTAATAAAAATCAAATCCGCAAAATTATAATTTGCGTAATTACTGGTGGTAGAACCTCTGGTGAGTCCACGGGTAGGTACCACCACTTTGCCTATTTCTGCCGTGAAGCAATAATGCGTTTCGGTTTGAAGGGTGGGGCAGCCGTTGTAACTATACTGAGATCTTAGAACTTATATCTTAAGGTGGGCGTTAACGTTGTAGATGTCTATGGGCTCCAGTAGCCACTTAATACCAGGTGGGCTGTGAGCTCGTTTACCTATCCAAGAAATAATATTTTTTTTATCGAGTTTTCCCCGTTGTCGTCAAATGATGATTTGGTAAATTTCTTAGAAACGAGGCCATTAGTTGACCATAACGTATTCTGAATTAGCTATGTACCATGTAATAGTTATTTAATGACGATGGTTTGAATATAAGTATCAAGAAAGAAATAAGGTGGACAGTGGAACTAGCCTAGTGTAAAACAAAAGATACTAACAAGATTTCATGTTACAATTTGGAAATAGCTAATTAGAATAAGACAAGAACAAGAAGATACAGCTATTGTATATAATATTGCATACTGTATTTAATATTAAAAATAAAAAAATGCTAAAGCTAACAAAATTTCCTCATTTTCTACAAAATTTTAATACAAAAAATAAAGTATACAAAAAAAAACCATACACTTAAATGTATTGATAAATCATAAAATCTAGCGGCGGCGTTACTTCAGTGTCATTGAGTGATAAATGACGTGTAATACTACCTCTGTATGGGTTTTAAAAGCAGGGAGGCTTCAGAAACATTCGCGATATAGCAACATTATAAACGGAATCCTTTTACTCAATGGCTTGTGAATGTTTACGTAAGCGACTGATTCCTTATGGGGTTTAGACCATGGATTACGAAGCTTGTCTAATTACAGGACTTTTTCCTGTTACTGCTGTCTTATTTATGTCTGTGTCAGGTTCTATGTCTTTAGGTACGTATCCTTACAAATAGCTTTTGAGCATCTTCATCACCGAATTTCATTGCTATGAAAAAGTCTTAATGACCGTTTTCAACAGCATAGAACCAATTTTTTTCGATGAATGGTGTTGTCACGTTGTGATGTCTATGGACTCCGTTGGTCGTTTGGGACTTGAGGTCACTCACTCATTTACGCAAAAAGTCATTAATCGAAAGTTTTTAGCTAAACGTAGTGTACTAAATAGTCATGCTAATCTAATCCACGCACATTTGTACATAATAACTGATCTCATTATTATACATTTTGACCGAAAATAATATTTTTTACCTAAGAAACGAACATTATATCGTTTGAAATAAAGTGACTAACAAATTTCGTAGAGGTTACGGTACGAGATCCCTTTACTTCCGGGCCATTTGCCACCAAGTGGGCCGGGATAGTCCACAGTAACGGACAGAGGAGGCTGCCCTTCTATTCCAATCTATGTATTTTCAATTACTTTACTCGGAAAGTTTTACGTGTATTTTGTCCTCTAAATATACTTCGCGCTACTTATTCTATCGACCCTTTTGGTTGGCTTGTATTCATGAGATTTTAGACAACGTGTTTTCTCTGCTAGCTATTCTAAGTTTCTTAAGGAAGATTCCGAGAGATTTACCACGTTGAAAAATATGTAATCCGATTAGTATAAAATGCCAATAGTCATTTGGCAGGCGGGTTGGTGACCGCAGTACTATACATACTGCATACATAGACATAGCTTATTATGGATGGTTATACAACCATCGGTCGGTCGCCAGGGCATCGTCCGTTAGCTAGCAGGGTGCACCACGGGCAGGTGAGGTTGGCTATTGAGTAGCTGTGATTCCATTGCCACCCCTTACACCCCTAGTGTTCTAGTGTCCTAAAGAGTTCTAAATAGTAAGTAAAAATTTTTTTTATTTTTTTATTGCTTAGATAGATGTACGAGCTCACAGCCCACCTGGTGTTAAGTGGATACTGGAGCCCATAGACATCTACAAGGTAAATGCGCCACTCGCCTTGAGATATAAGTTCTAAGATCTCAGTATAGTTACAACGGCTGCCCCACCCTTCAAACCCAAACGCATTACTGCTTCACGGCGGAAATAGACAGGGTGGTGGTACCTACCCGCGCGGACTCACAAAAGGTCCTACCACCAGTAAAAAACGCTGCATGTTGAAGACGATATGAAGTTTAGCATGAAGCGTCCCTAATTCAGTGGGAGACCAGTGAATTTCCTGAGCACTTTCACCTGCCACTCCGGATCTCGGGTCGCGCATTAACACTCAACTAAAACAGCCTAAAACAATAACATAACATTCCACACAAAGGTCCGGCGCCGGGAGGGCCGGAACTCCCGTTTTTCTGTCCCCCGGGTACAAAGCGGGTCATTTTATTGTACTTACTTAAATGGGCGGCCACCGCCAAAAGAGCAATTAGTCGACGATCCATAGTGGCTCTGTTGTTTTTATTCGCGCTGTTTCAGAATAGAGCACGCTTTTGATGCTGTCGCATTTTGTGCGATAACCGCATTATCCGGGCTCGGCCCTGAAACAAGTGCAGGCAAAAATTAATAATTTTATTCCGACGCTGGTACATTTAAAAATTGGACATTTCCTTTTGTCAAGTTATTTGGTAAAACTAGAGAAAATGGTAATCTTAAGCTCCACTAACCACCTAATGAAGGGAGCTAGTCCACTCTATTAAAGGAAATGAAATAGGGCTTGTAACTGATGTCTTGAGGTGGTTGGCAACTGTAGGACCTATAGCCCTAATGACAGATTGCGAAGACTCACTATCAGGTGGCCCTAATGCTCTTCTCTGCCAATAAAATCTTACAATGATATCCCTTTCACTAGGTGAACTTTCCATTGGTCATCTAAGCTTAAAAACTTAAATGTTTCTGACTTTTCACGCTATATTAAGTTACGATAATATCCAATATAATTATGTATTTTCAGTTCAAAAATTCAAATTACATGTATGTAATTTTTCAATCGAATAGCGTCGGTTTGTAGATAAAAAGTGTATTACGACCGAAAAATCGGTTTAGCGGAACAAACAAACAGTGTTTTCAGAGTTTTTTAATTTATTTGTAATACATCAATTACGCAGATCGCAACACAAATGAATATGCAATCGACCATCGGCGCTTCGTCGGACAAAATAATCATTCGATATATGCAAAAGCATCGGCTGTGCGGTCATTTCTCGTTTCGGTGGTCGACCGAGTACGTCGAAATGGCCATGTATTAATAAAATAAACATAGGGGCGATCGGGAAAATTATGAATGCATGGATCGTTCCTACGGTTTTGTTCAAGTTTTATTGGTACTATACAATTACCGATAAATTTGTTGGCTGTTTTGCGTGTTAATACGTTTTAACATCACGAATGCGGTGGGTGTTGTTCGATGACAAACTTATACTAATCCAAAATCCGAATTATGATAATGACAATTTTGATGAAATACGCATATACGTCATGTTCCGGACGGTACCAACTTTCGGTCTATTTTTCTTTCCTACCTATTCTAGTAATTTGAGGGGTTATTCTAGATTCTCCGAACTAGTAGGTGAGCTCACGGGGCTCAAACCGGGACTGTTACTAACACTGGCCTTAGAAAGAGCAGTGCTTCGCAGAATCCACCATCGGATCGGAATCGCGACCTACTGAGAAGATCCGGCGAGAAACTCAGTGGGCTGTGTCTGTGGGTTAATTTACTCGTCGAGCCCTTCGTCGCAAGCGACGGGTTCGGCGAGGACGGTGACCAGATGGTCTATTGAGGAGAATGCCTCGGCAGAGATCTTCGCCTATATGGATGTGGTCTTATAAAAAAATTAACGAAATAATAAATGCAGGTAAATGAAATAAAATACGGAATTAAGAACAGAATCGGGAATAATAAAATGAAGTTTCTATCTAAATGTTTCCAATGTTTCTGATACAACATTATTCGGACGCGAATTTATTGATACAAAACTATGATCATCAAGATATAACCATAACATTGTATAAGAGTAGATTTGTGAAAGAAAATACTTAGGAAACAAACAAATAGCGTGAAACTTGTACAGGAATAAAATTACTACAATGAATCAAGCACGCTTTTAAAATAAAAGAAAACGTTTTTGGCTCAAGAGGGATTCGTTGTCTATGTTCGTGAATACAGCCCTAATTTAAAAAGCAAAATTGTTCTTATAATAAAGCACAGACAGTTTTGTGGGAAATTTTCTTATTTTCGATTCCAATTTATCGTTTGGAACTCATTCAAAACATAATTCACGATCTCGGCGAAGATTGCGGTTGGTAATACACGATTGGCAAACATTTTATGTTTGGAATTTCCGGTGCTAGATACAAGGATTTGTTGTTACTCAGTACATACCATATACATATTATTATCTTCATTGTTTTTTTAATTCTACCGAATGCAGTAATGTTTAATTCAAATTAAATATATAAAGAGAACGAGTGATGATCTTTTACAGCTATAAGTTCTCGTTTGAGAGAGAGAGAGGGAGAATATACTTTATTTGACATCAAAACATAATTAAAGTCTAAAAACAATCAAAAGACAAGTATAATTAATAGTACAATAGGCGGTCTTATTCCTCGAAGGGATTTCTTCAAAACAAGGGACTTTTATGTACAGAAATTGTGAAAAAGATGCAGCAAATATGTGTACTATAATTAAAAATATTTAGAGTGATCTCTTAAGATAGATCAAACTTTTACGCACATTAGTAAATAATAAAGAAAATATATCTATTTACATTAAATATAAACTTACAATAAATATATAATTAGAAAAGAAATAGCTTTTACTTAACTTTTAATTTAAAATTTAAAATTAACTTTGAAAGTAGTTTGTGCAGGATTTTGCAGTTGACTGTACAAGTATACCAGAGTAAAATATAAAAAATGTGTTCAATTGGTTTTAATTGATGACTTCTACTTCTTCAGATAATAAAAAAATTAAATCGTATTCCATGCCTTAACAATGGGAGCACGACTGAGGCATTTCGTTACTTTAAGCTTTTTGAGATTCTAGAAAGTATAGTTCTGTTAGTTTTTTGAAGAAAATTAAATCAAACATTTGTACTACATTAACTTCTAGTTAAACTACGATTAATTTTCACGAACTTCAGGGGGCTTTTCTTAATTTATTCAGTTTTATTTAGTTACAAACATTCCAATTTAAAACAGTTTCATGGAATTTTTAATGAATTTATATTTTTGCATCTTTATTATTCAAATTACATAAGCATCTCATAAATAATCTTGATTTAATTGTCTATAGTTAATCGCTTGTTAACACCCGTATGATGTGATTAGTACAGACGGCGGCTTGTCCAGTCAAGAGCACAGTGCAACCATCGTCATAGATCTCCTTAATTTCATTATTTTTATCTCGAACTTAACTTACTTGAATTTTAAATATGAAATACCCTCCCAAGAATATTGTTAAATAAACAAGCGGGATTCACGGTATGTTTCAATTTTAATAATTCATATTATTATATAATTTTCAATTATTGCTCATATATAAATTGCAACTTAATAAACTTGCATTTACTTAAATAGAGGCAGAGAAGTAATATTTTATAATTATAATTTTTATGAAGCATTTTCGATAAAAAAAATTAATACCTCCGATTTTGCGATTAAGAATGTCCTATGTAATTATCATCATATTGTTACGCCGGTAAGAGCAACGCCATCTATTGTCGAATAGTAGAAACGAACACCAAAAGAACTAGTGAGATCAAGAACGTTCGAGAAATACAACGCCATCTGTTGTCAAATGGCGGAAACGCATATCGAAAATACTCGACTTGTGAGGAATATTCTCTATAATTCTAGGGACGTCGTATCGACTATAAAAGCGTTGCAGGGATGTCAAGAAGTAATCGGAACTACTCGAAGCAAAAAACCGCAATTGGATCACCTGAAGCGAAGCGGAAGAAGTGAATTGAGAATTTTAAAGTGTTCATTACGTGTTTTAAGTTAAAGAGAGTAATAGAGAGATTACTTTTTTTTATTGCTTAGATGGGTGGACGAGCTCACAGCCCACCTGGTGTTAAGAGGTTACTGGAGCCCATAGACATCTACAACGTAAATGCGCCACCCACCTTGAGATATAAGTTCTAAGGTCTCAAGTATGGCTGCCTCACCCTTCAAACTGAAACGCATTACTGCTTCACGGGAGAAATAGGCAGGATGGTGGTACCTACCCGCGCGGACTCACAAGAGGTCCTACCACCAGTAAGTTGCACTTCGGTAGAATTTTTATTTATCCCGAACCCCAGCGCGTAACAATATCAATCGTAACAACTTAATTGTACAGTAAAGATGTTCATTAAGATACTTGTAGTGCTGTTCTCATCTACAGTACACTACACAGCACAAAGCTGAATTCTCGTATAGATTGGCATCCATTGTGCCTACTGCGGCCCGGTCAGTCTCGCATAGCATAGCATATTGAAAGCATTTGAATGCTTACTGAGTTCCGATTGTAGGCAGTCTCGGAGGATAACGACGTGCAAGCGNTGTACAGTAAAGATGTTCATTAAGATACTTGTAGTGCTGTTCTCATCTACAGTACACTACACAGCACAAAGCTGAATTCTCGTATAGATTGGCATCCATTGTGCCTACTGCGGCCCGGTCAGTCTCGCATAGCATAGCATATTGAAAGCATTTGAATGCTTACTGAGTTCCGATTGTAGGCAGTCTCGGAGGATAACGACGTGCAAGCGTTTCCATTGCTATGTAACTGCGTTTCCTATGCAATTGGTACACTGTCGAACACGATATGGTCATTAGGTTTCTGATAATGTCTTCACCTATGAAATGTCAACTTATGGTTATGACTTGGATATCGTCTTTGAGTGTTCTATTGAATATCTTAGTAATAATTATACTGAGAACTAGAATAAAAAAAAGGTCTTAAACGGCTTAATTTTATTTTATTAATAAAATTTAAGGAGACGTTATTATGTTTAACTATTTTGACGATGCAGCGAGTTGATATCTGCTATTGCCGCTATATATGAGTGGTGATCACTCATCATCATATTAAGTGCAGATACATCGTAGAAATATATTTAAATTGAAAACAATTCAATGAATGTAAATTATAATTTACATTTAAATAACGTAAGTTTGATAGTTTGTTTTTAATTGACGCAGTAACGGAACTACCAGTAGGATCGACATGATTCAGAAATACATTTAGAAAAATGACATAAGCCACTTATTCCGATGAAAAATGAAAATATTTTTTAAAACGTATCTACTATGTACAAACAACGTGGTGTTTCGCACAAGCCATAAGTCCTTGTGGAAGTGAATGTAGTTCTTTGTCCTGTTTGTATATGGAGGTTGTATCGTTTAGGGGGTGTTTGCTCGCGAGATGGCACCAGTGATGCGGTGATGCTGGCGGCTCCACGTCGTCTGGAACTATTCATTCGATCCCTGACGTACACACCGCAAAAATGTTTGAAGTTATAACGTATGCGTACAAACCACAATGAAATAATTT